TTGGTTTAGCATGGGGGCATCACTAAATCAACCAATTACAAATAAGGGGAGAGTAGCAGGCAGGCAAAATTGCTATTATCAAGTTACTAAAATAACTACTTCAATAGTAACCTGTTGGTAAAAGGGGAGATAAAGCAGTTGCAAGAGAATCTGGGTTTCTGCTAGGCAGAACAAACAACTTGTTCAATTCAGCTAACTGTTTTCTTCAATTAAATCCTCATAGAGCTATGGTATCAACAAGATAAATAATAAATGTTGACAGTACCTATACAGTGACCTGTACATATAGCAAGGAAGCAATGTTACTTCTTTTCCTTTTGGACCATGTTACATAATTTTTTAATATCACTAATCTCCAGATAAGGAGTTAATAAAAACCTATGAAATACTCCAATGCAAATGACAAAAATAGCTGTGTTTCATGACCTCTTCTCTCACAGCACCCTGATCTTTCCACCTAGTAAGAAAATGACTTATCTGTTATTCTGTAGTAATTGCATACACTCAAAATTCATTTGGCTTAAACCAAAAACAGGCACTGGGAACACAAAAGTGAAGCAAAGCAAAACAAAAGAACCAAACGGCAACAACAAAACTGTCCTCAAGGAGTTCATAGATTCATTTTCTCAATCTGCCTTCAGCCCATCACATCCATACCAAAGCTGCATAGCGCCCCCAGGCAAGGCTGCTACAAATACAAGATGCCCCACACTTTATGGGGCAATAATCCCTCTTTATATCTTCATACTTCCACTTCACTACCTAATTCCAATATTTTTTCCTTAAAAAAATTCTATGGCGAGTCACTGGATATGATCTTTCTCCAAAATATGATTAAAATCTACCTTGACTTTACTAATAGCTCAAAAGAAGGAAACAAAGAAAAAATCCAAAGGAAAAATCCTGTTTCTTGGCAGGGCTGGGAGTTTATTTTCAAAAATTAAAACAAACAAAAAACCCATAACAAAAATAACTCATTTAAGAGACTAAAAAATCTTGCTTCTGAGAATAGGCATGTAAAAAGATCACGACTACCTTCTTTCTCAGAGGAAGAACTAGAAAGAAGAGATGTCCTCACAAGAGGCACATAAGTTGTAACATTAGGGAAAATGAACTCTCAGAAAAAAAAGGGCTTACGCCAAGTTTCAAAGTGACTTAGAGTTTTATTTGTAGCAAAACAGATCACAGAAGTCAACTATTTCTACCTTTTTGTTTTATAATTAAACATCTTGAGAAGTCAAGTCACACAGAAGACTACATTTCCTTCTAATTTCTGCCCTAACTTCTTGTCCCAGAGACTGTAAGGCTACACCACTCACTGAACTGAGGAACAGCCTCCTCTTCAGGTCCACTAGGTGAAAGAGAACAAGTTCCTAATAATGTTGTCATGTCTAATACAAGAGTTACAGATTCTAGCATTTCAAGGTAGATCTGAAATTTATTTTTACCATAGATTCTCATACAAATTATTATAAGTATTTAAATATATTTATACTAATTAACATAATTTTATAATTTCTTTAGTATTATTAACATAATCCTATAATTCAGGTATTTTAAGATTTAAATAGGCTTTGGTGGGCTCTTTGTGACTAACCACTAAGTATACCATTTCTGAGAAAATAAGACTCAAGTTTGAAACCATTTTACAAGTTGAAAAATATGATCTGAGTTAGTACTACTAATTTACAAAGACTCAAAATTATAAGCTGAATATGATAAACTAAAAATAGAAGATTCCTAATTTTATAAAAAGTTCCACCTCAGGGGTTATTTATTTTTAACAACTAGGTACTCAGGCATTTAGAACAGGATTTAATTTACATGTATCTTTGTATTACTATTTCACTAGAAAACTTAAGTCACAAAGAGTCAAACACTTCTATCCAGTGTAGGAAAAACAATATGTTAACATACATCTTCATAAAGTGATTAAGAATATGGTTAATATCATTTCATAAATCAAAGACTGCTAACATATACATTATTAAGTATCTAGCGCCAGTCCAAAAATGTACAGGTAATGGAATTATATCTGAACAGGTAAATGGAGTTCAAGGAACCCCTAAATTCATTTTTCTCTTTTCTCCTGAAACAAAGGTATACATTTCATTAATTAATGTTTGATAAATCTTTTTGTTTCACTAAGTATATTAATTCAATGGATATTCTTTACCCATTCATTTTATTCAACAAAGAAAACTGAGCCCCTAGTATTTGTTAAACACTATACTGATAACTTTGGATTGACAATAACGTGCAAGTCAGTTCCCCTCCTTAAAGAGCTAAGAAAAACCACGACCTCACTGCATTTACCAAAGTGACAGTGACAACTAAATTTTAGTTCATTTAAGAAAACATTATAAAACATAATCAAATTATCAAAAAAGAAACCATACAATAGTAACTTTAAACATACTTTAATAGTCTCAACTATATGAAGTTTTCTCACAAAGTAACCAAAAGCACTGTTTTGGTAAAAAAGTGCTAATAATACAATCTTTTGATAGTAGTTCAATAAGGAAATCACAAGCTACTATGTACTGTGATAATGAAAATCAAGCACTTGGAAAAGATATCTTAAAGCTATTCTTAAAAAAAAGTAAAATGCATAATTAAATATAGTCTTATACAATATTAATACACTGTCTCTAAATATATGAATATTTACAAACGTGAGTAATAAAGGAACTCTACAGCATACCTTATAATCACAACCATGTATTTTGGATTGTATCACCTGCAATTTCTTTTTTTTTTAACCAAAAAAAGCCTTGATATTTTTTGAATATATTATTTTTAACTAACTTAATTCAATATTCTACTTATTATCATGTCACATAATTTTTATTTACTATTAACTATTTTATCTATATGTTTAACTATATGTAGGTATTAACTGTAATAACATTTATGTCTGCAATTATTTAAAACCCTTGATAGATGAAAAACGTTTTTCAATTCAGAGGTATATCTCTCCAAAGCAAAAATCAATGTAAATCAGCCAAACATGCTATTGAAAATCCTAATGACATTTTTTCATTGTATTTTTCACAGAAATTTTTTCTCATTCATCAGCTAAAAATATTTAAATTTTCTTTAAAAAGATACAAAAATACACCTTTCTTGAATTTATGCACACTACCTACCAGTGTAAATGAGTATTATCTCCATTTACATATAAGGAAACCAAGGCACAAAGGTGTCCATTTTGTAAATTGCAAGGTCATTTCCTAACCAAGCAACTAATCCTACACCACCAACTTTTATGCATGCCATTTCCAAGTGCCATAGAACAATTACTGTACCTTAAAACTGCCTCTGCAATGCTTATACGTGATCCTGTTTTATCGAAAGGGTTAATGCAACAAGCTTAAACAAGGAAAGATGGGAAAGGAAAATTATAAAAATGCAACACTTATTTTTGATAGTGAATCTTTTATTTCTAAATAATGAGATGTAAACAGTTTTTAACATAAAAATCAATTAACAGTTTTTTCTTCTATTTTCAAAAAAAAAATTTCAACATTCAGGTAGATCATGCAAAATTGGAGCCTACTCATCCAAGTAGATCGAAGTTAGAAAAAAATTTTTAATTCTAAAACAAGTAATTAAATACACGATATTGCAAAGAAAAAAGTGAATAAAAAATAAAATCAGGTAAATTAGGGAATGATTGATATCGTGGTTAAAAACCTATTCTCAAATATTAAATTCTTCCATTCAATGGAAGGCTATGATTAGTAATGACATCTTCTGCTACTGAAAAACAAATACAAAACTTTTCTTATTCAAAACTTCCAAAATTTTGTAACAAATACTTCATTAAAATATTCGGTATAAATATAATTTTCCCAACAGAAACTTAGAGCATAAAGGATAAATTGTTCCTGAGAGTTCAAATTGGGACTGCATTTTTAATTATGATATAGTGCTATGAACAATCAGAAAAATGAATGCTACCTACCATGCAAATTTAAATTTAAGAATATTAGACGGACTGAGTAACCAATTAGTCAATTACATCAATTAGTGAACAGAAATAAGACCTTAGCTAATTGTGAATCTAACACCAAAGAAAAAATTTAAGTAGAATCCACACGGCACACCTTATTATATAGAAAAGGCTATGATTACATTAAGTCGTATTTAAGTACCCAGTCTAGCTGGGGATCAATTAATTAATCGGTTATAGGACAGGTCGGGAATGTTGAGGTCGGATCTCCTTTCTTTTCATCGTTATTCCAGTTCATCATCCGCAAGTGCAAGAGAAGGTGTCAGAGTACCGAAGCTAGGGGGCATGCTGTAGCAAGGGGAAAAGAAAAATGGGAAAGGTGCAATGGATGCTGCATAGTTGAATAATTATCTGGGTGGCACAATGGGCGAGTCCTGCCGACAGGAGCGCTGAGTGAGCGGCTCCGTAACTCTGCTGGAGGCAGCCCCCAAGAACAGGCATCAGAGACGACAGCACCGCTTCGCCTCCCCTTCCAACCGAGAAAAGGATGCCCGCACTCGCTTTACCGTTATGTCTTTAGACACCGACTCGCGGCGCAAACACGCAAACGCACGAGCTCGCTTTACCGAGCCCCGGGCACGTAGGGCGAACAGGGGCTTCTCAGCCGCCCCAGGCTGCTGACTCCCCCGGAAAGGGGCACGGAGCGGACCGTGGGCGCGGGTGGGCAGGGAAGCCCGGGCGGTGGCACCTCAGGTGAGACCTGCAGTCTCTCCAGCGATAGCCGCCCCGGCTTGGTCCCTGCAGCTGAGCCCCAGGCGCGCCCGCCGCCGTCTCCCTCGGCACCCAGCCCCGCCGGCGGGTGGGCGGCGGGCGCTCGGGAAACCCGCGGATGGGGGGTGGGGGCCGGGGCGGGGGAGGCGCGCCCATCCATCCCCGCCACCTTTGCGGGCCACACACCTCTCGGTCTGCTCCGGCCGGTGAGTAAGAGTTCCTCTCCCACCAGCCCCTCCCCGAAAAAGGCAATTCCTCGGGGACTCGCGCTCACCGTGAAATCTTGGGGGCTCTCGCCTTACCCCTTCTTCATGCTTCAGCAGCGGTCGCCTGTCCCCCTCGGCTCCCGGAATTCCACCTAGGGCCCCCAGGAGCGTCGGGGTCCGGGACGGAACCCGCTCGGGGCAGCGGCCGAGGCGCCAGGCCAAGGGGAACGCCGCCTGGGGCGCCCACCGGCCGCCGGACCCACCGTGTGCTCGACGCGCGAGTGAACAACACCGCGAGCTGCAGCTCCCCCCGCCCCCTCCCCGCGCGGACGCTCCACAACCGGGCGCAGGGACCCACGCCAGAAGTAGGGGGGACCGCGGGACTCTCTCCGCCTAAAATCCCATCCTTGCCACCCCCAGGAGCTATTCCCGTCCAGTTAAAGGTCTCGAAACTTCAGATTCTCACTTTCCCGTTCAGCCTCCAGTGACCAGGTGCCGCCGAGGTGGGAAACCCAGCCTCCGCCCACTCCCCCATCAGTGGGTCTGAAGCTCACTCTTCCCCCTTTCCTGAGGCTCTGTGGTATTGCCCAATCCTCAGTTTGGGGGAGGGGGACGGAGAGAACAGTGCTTGGCTAGGGAATGAGGGAAGATGATAGCCAATTGAATGGAACATCCATTAGGGGGCGGGGCAAAGAGGGACCCGCCCCCGCCCGCCCCGCCCCCCTCGTTCCAAACTACATTTCCCATTGTGCCCTCTCGCGCTTCCTGCTGCGCTGCACGCTGGGAGTGGAGGACCGCGAGGCCTCAAGGTATTTTGGAGCTCGTATTCTTTAGTCAACTAGGTCCTGAAAGTTATAAGCTATTATAATTCGCTCTTTTTCCCTAGGTAAACTTTTCAAAGTTCTCGGTTCGACATTAGCTATTCTAATAATAATTGTCTAATTGTTTTAAAATGTGATACATGATTTCGTAGCAAAGAAGTTTAATAATGTGTTGGATGGCAATCTGTCAGGACCTGGGAGCCTCTTCTTCTTCCGCCCTGGCAGGGTATCCGCAGAGGATTTATTGCCGTCATGTCGGCTGCGATTGCGGCTCTGGCCGCTTCCTATGGTTCGGGTTCAGGGTCCGAATCGGACTCGGACAGTGAGAGCAGTCGGTGTCCGCTGCCAGGCGCCGACTCTCTCATGCATTTGACTAAATCTCCCTCGGCCAAGCCGTCTCTAGCAGTGGCGGTGGACTCGGCTCCGGAGGTGGCAGTTAAGGTAAGCACTTTTGCTACTGATGCGGTGTAGGAATTGTTGGCTTCAGCTCCAAAACTGCCGGTCGCTTGTTAGGTCCCGGGTTACCGCTTTCTCAGTGTCAGAGATAAGTTGCTAACGCTTGGATTTTTTTCTCCTTCCCACATGCATCTTCCTCGGGAGAAGCAGAATTGGAATTTGAAAATAGCCCTCCGATACTCTCTGCCCTTGCCTCCCGCCATCAGAAAGCAAGTGGAAAGAGGGGATGAAATTTGAATTTATGGATTAGGGACATGGCCTGGAAAGTGCAGGTGTAATCTCGGAACGTAAATTAGATCGGGACTTCCCAAACTCGAATATTGTGCCTTCACTTGAAGTAGCAGTGGCGTGGATTTGTTTTGTTTTTGAAGTAAGAACTAGGTTCTAATCCTGGCACCACCACTTACTTGAATTTGGATAAGTTATGCAGCCTCCCCTGTTCCCTCACCTATACGGTAGAGATCATTTTCAAAACACCTGAAAATTGAGTGAAATTACACAAATAAAGCATATAGCACAGAGCCTGGTAACTAGTGAGAGTGCAGTAAATGTTTTATGATTATGTATGTTAATACAGTGAGAAAAAGGCGTTGGATTTGAGAAACAGCTGCATGATCTCAATGGAGGAAGCTGATAAATGGAGAGATTGGGTTATAGTTTACTTAACAAATATTTATTGAGCACGTGTTACTTGCCAGGAACTGTTGTTCAGTTCCTGATACAGAGGCTAGCAAGCCACAGACATCTTTGCCATCATGTTGCATACAATGTAGTGAAAGAGGCAGCCGATTAAATGTGACCAGATAAAGTAGTTACAAATTGGACTGAGCACTGTGAAGGAAAAATAGAGTACCATAATACAAAATAAAGTAGGAATATTATTTCGATAGGTCGGTCAGGGAAATCCTCTCTGAAAAGGTGGCTTTGAACAAGAAGCTAGCCCAGTGCAAGTTAAGGCAAGAGTTTCCAGGCAAAGGTGACAGGCATGCCTGAGAAGGCAAAGAGCTTCTCGTGTTTGAAGAACTGAGGCAAAGCTGATGTGTCTAGAGCCTGATGAGAGCATCGTCCAATTGGTAGTGTAGGCCCAGTAGAGCCCGATGTAGGTGATCAGCTCAACATGTGGAGAGGGAAGGCAGTGTCCAAAAATTCCTTTGTAACATATCCCCAAGTCTAGTTGAATGACTTAAGACATGTTTAACAGGTTTTTAATAAGCTGTTTATAAATTTTACTTTTTACAAATGGACATCTGCCATGAAAGAATGCTTAGAAGCCTCCTAACTTCCTGTCAGAACAAAATTTTCCAAACTTCGGCCCCTCCAGTAACCTCTTTCTCAGCTCAGCCTTTTGGAACTCTGTTTTTGTCTTAGTCTCATTTTCTCCTCAATGCAATGCAGTCTGGCCCTACCCTCTTGGCAAACTGCTGTCTGTGAGTGATGTTTCAGGCCTTTCAGTTGTCAGATTCCACCATCTGACTTCAATGTCTGCACCAAATGACACTATTCATTAGTTCCTCTTTCTTGAAACTTTCTCTCCGTTTCATTTCCATGGGGCTCTCCTCAGCATTCTGGTCCAATTATTTTACCCTCTCTTTCAATATTGGTGTTTCCCAGGGCTCTGCTCTTAGTCCTCTTTGCATTTCACATACTCTCCCATACCTTCAACCTCAGTCTGTGCTGATTCTAGCTCAAGGTGAACACTGTGACATGGTTAGCACAGGCTCTGGAATTAAGACTGTAATTTAAACCCTGCCTCCAGCACTTACCCATATGGGGGCCTTGGATAAATTACTTAAATGCTCTGTACCTAATTTTCGCTGATCTATAAAGTAGGACTAACAGTAGTACCTATCTAACGGAATTATAAGAATCGTCATAAAAGATATAAACCCTTTTAACAGTGCCATACACAATGAACGCTAATTAAATGCTTGCTATTCTTTTATTTCCAGTTCTATCCTCCTTGCTAGCTTACAGCCTTGCTAAGTATGTAAAAATCTCCCACTGTAATGGTACATTTGTCTCTTGCAGGTTGGTGCTCAGCCACCTCAAATTCAAGTGTGTTGAAAAATTATTTTCTTTCCCTCAAAATCCACTTCTGCTTTTCCCATTTTGATCTATGATCCCACAATCCACCCACTAGTTCAAGCCAACAACAAAGGAGGTATCCTTTTCTCTTCCTTCTTCCTCAGCCCCTGAAGCTAGTCATTCAATTGATTCCAACATTTCTGTTTAATTTTTCTCACATTAACTCCTTCCTCCCTATTTTCATTGGTACAGGCTTCATATCTTCCCTATTTCTCCCAGGAGTATTCTTTTCTTTCTCGTTCAGCCTCTTGGGTAGTGGGTCCTGTCCACTTTAACTCAATGATATTTATCAAATCTCTCTCCTCTTCTGCTGCCAGTTTAGTGCAGATTTTCGTCGTTTCTCTTCAGACAGTTATAGCCTTCTAACTGATCTTTCTACTTCTTCCTTTCTTGTCTCCTAGTTTTATACCCCATTCTTTTCTCCTTGCACTTGGAATGATCTTTGTCAATTACACTTGCATCCTATCACTTCCCTGCCCAAAGACACCAAGTTGTCCAGTGAGTAATTTCTAAGCTGTTTTTGTAGCATGTGAGGCCTGCTGTTCTTCCATGCTGAACTCTACAAAGCCCTGAAAGCCAAATTTTCTTTGTTCCTCTGAAGATATTGCCCACGCTAGTCTTTCTACCTGGACATCCCTTGTCTAGTGCCTCCTTCCCCCACTCCAAACACTGTGGTCCTTTGGTCTCAGTGCACATGTTTCCTCCTATTCTACCTTAGCCCCTTTATCTTATCTTAACTATAGCACTTATCACATTGCTGTGACTTGTTCACCTTTTTCTTTCCCCTGGGCTTTGAGACCCTAGGGCCCAGAGACTGCGGTATCTATTCATTTGTGTCTCCAATGCCTAGTGTACAAGATTAGGGAAATATATTTGGTAAGACAATAGAATGAAAAAGAAAGTCTTATAAAAGTATGCACATTAAGAATCAATTTTAGAGCTGAGCGAGCAGTGGCAGGGGTGAGGGTGTTTGTCTAGAGCTCACTTAGGTCAATCAAAAATAAATAAGGAAATCCAGGAGAAAAGATTGCATAAGGTACCAGAGATTCATTAGAGGTAGAGCTGGAGCTAGTCTCCCCCATGGTCTGGGTTCTATGAGAGAGTAGAGGGCATTGCTCATTGCTGGTTTATGAACCAACACTTGTTTATATGAAGGAAAAAACTTATGCATAGTAAATATAATGATTGCAAATGACTGGAAAATTGGAAAATGACCAAGGGAAATGTGAAGCGTGCAAATACATTCATCTGTAGTTGACGATTTGTATGGTGATTAATAGCCAGCATTTTGGCAGAGAATACATGTATGCAGCGTTTTTAATCCATATTTTTTCTGAGCTCTTTCCTGCAGTTGAGTACCTTTTCATGTGTTATTGGTGATTTATTTATTTTTTCTTCTGAAAGCAACTGGGTTGTCATTTCCTTTTGATTTTTTGGATATCTTTACATATTCTGGATACTATCCTTTGTCAATTGTGTGTGTTAAAAAATTTTTTCTTTCTATGACTTGTCTTCTCACTGTTCCTGTTGTTTATAAACAATCATTTATGTAGTCTGTGCTTACCAAATTATTCCATTATGTATTGTGGTTTCTGTTTGTTTGAGAAATCCTTAACTCACAGTCATGAAAATATTTTCTCATATTACTTCTCAAAAGCTTTTCACATTTAAGTCATTAATCCCTATGAAATTAATGTTTGTCTATAGTGTGAACATTCTTAATAGCATGGCTTGATATGTGATAAGGCACTTTCCTTGTCCTTTTCCGTTGTTGTTCAAGAATGTTTTGGCTGGCTCTTTTGGGCGCTGTAATTCTATATACAGTTTAGAATTAACTTGTATAGTTCTACTAATATCCAGTTGGGATTTTGTTTGGGAGTACATTGAGTCATAGGTCAACTTGGAGATAATGTTATATCCCTTCATTTGTTTAGGCCTTTTTTAGTTTTTTTTTTTCTTCTAAAGTTTGTAATTTTCTCCATATCAAAATCTTGTATAGTTTTATTGGAAATATTTCTAGGTGCATATTATTTTTATGCTATTATATTAATAAATAGTATTGTCTTTTTCATTTATTTAACTTTCTTACTGATCTTATTACTTACATAGTCATATCAGCTGCAAATATGACAGTATTTTTTCTTTTCTTAATCTTTATTTCCTTTTCTTGCCTTGCCTTGCTTTCTCTAGGAATATCTAAAATAAAAATAAAAAGGATGTACCAGGCAAATTCTAACCAAGAGAAAGCTAGCACTGTTTGTATTAAGATCAGTAAAAATAGACTTTAAAGCAGAAAGCATTACTGGAGACAAAAGAGGCACTTCATCATGATAGAACCTTCAGTTCACAGAGAGATATAAAACAATGTAAGCTGAAAATATTTAAGCAAAAATTGACAGGACTACAAAGAGAAATGGACAAATGTACAATTACAGTGGGAGACTTTTATACACCTCTCAAAAATTGATAGAACAAGCAAAAATATTAATAATAATACAGAATATGTGAACAGCAAAATTAGTAAACTGCATCTAAAGGTGTTATGGAGCATGGCACTCAGCAACACAGAATGTTGTTTTTAGCCCTAATAAAACATTTTTTTTAAGACTATATACTAGACCAGGGATTGGCAAACTTCGGTAAAGGGCCAGACAATAAATATTTTAGGCTGTGCTGGCCCCATGTAGTTTCTGTCACTTTTTTCTTTTTCTCCTATCCCTTTTCTTCTTTTTCTTCATCTTTTTTCTTAGCCTTTTAAAAATGCAAATACCATCCTTAGCTAGTTAGTACCAAAAAACAGACCTTGGGCTGGATTTGGCCCACAGACTATAGTTAGCCACCTCCTGAAGTGGGGCATAAAATAAGTCTCAACAGATTTTAAAATCTTATTACCACTGTCT